AGTTGCTATAGCGTCAAAGATATCAGATTTGGTTAGTCTAGTTGTTTGGTTGCATATACTCATCTTTTAGTATACTGTCGTTTGACTAGTGTAGTCAACATTGCAGGCATCTAAGGTGGGCAACAAGGTCAAGTCGAAAATACGAGCAGGTGATAATAACTCTTCACACTTTGAGGGTGGAAGTGGGGAGAGTCATCAGTCCGATCAGGGTTTCTTCGATGCTGCTTTCTGTGACCGGAGGGAGGATGCAGCAACAAGTGGTGCTAATACACCAAGGGGGGATTTTATCCAATCTCCCTTTGGTGTATTCTTAAGTAGCAACGAGAAGGCTTCTTCAAAGCCCTTCAGAGATTCAAGTGATGAAAATGATGGTAACTCTGGCACCCCTAAAACTCTGACCTCAAAAGCTGAAGAGTGGATGGTAAAGAAAGGATTATCATGGCCATGGAAAGGGAATGAAAGGGAAGGTTTGGAAGGAAGGCGTGGTCATTCTGTGTGGCCTTGGGTGCAGAATGAACAACAAAAAGAACAGGCTTATCAAAGTAATTCTAATCACAGTGTTAAGTCTGAAAGCCAGGCATGTGAAAGTATTAAGGCTTCAAGTAATGAGCCTATGGGGTATTGGTCTTCCTCTGTCAATGTGAACAGTACTAGTAGTACAAGCAGCTGTGGAAGTACCAGCAGTAGTGTTATGAACAAGGTCGATATAGATACTGACTGCTTGGATTATGAAATCTTATGGGAGGATTTGACAATTGGAGAACAAATCGGGCAAGGTGATGTATTCCTTTCAGAAAGATGACAAAAAAACATATCCATCCTATAAGACATCTTACGTTTTATGTGGTTTTCTTGTCTCTGTTCTGCTAAGATGCTAAGACTGTTTTCCTTTTTGTACATACAGGTTCATGTGGAACTGTTTACCACGGTCTATGGTTTGGATCTGTACGTTCTTGCTTTTTGTTGATTTTGTATAATATGCATCATCGATTCTTAGAAGCCCCCATGAGAAATCATAAACAAAGAGGCTCTTACTGAGAGTTGCTACTGTCACTGCAGGATGTGGCTGTAAAGGTGTTTTCAAAACAAGAATATTCAGAAGAAATCATAACATCTTTTAGACAAGAGGTATTATTTTTTCTTTTATTTCTCTAAGCTTGATTGGTAACAGACAATTGATATTTTATTTTGTTTTTTAGTGACACCTGTCTTCTGTCTTTCATATTTCCGTTAGAAAAATTATTCCCTAAACTACCTCAAGTTTCCCATTTGAAACCTTCCAAACTGCATCTACCCGGAAATTTTAATCATTTCTGAGACCAGCTTATCTACTCATTCTAATTTTGTACATATGCTGGACTTGTTTTGTTCTGAAGGTATCCTTGATGAAAAGACTGAGGCACCCAAATGTCTTGCTATTTATGGGAGCCGTGACATCGCCTCAGCGTCTCTGTATAGTGACAGAGTTCCTTCCACGGTTGGTCCCATCTCTTTAGCTAATATTACCCTTCTTTTTGTGCTATTTGAACTCTGGGGCCAAAAGTCTGATTCACCCTGTCAAATAACACATGCAGTGGAAGTCTCTTCCGTTTGCTGCAGAGGAACACGTCAAAACTGGATTGGAGGCGACGTATCCATATGGCCTCAGATATTGTGAGTATTAGTCACAGACGTGAATTTCCAGTTGTATGACTGCATACCCACTGTATTCTAGGTAAAAGCTGTTTTTACTTCTTCACACAGGCTCGTGGCATGAATTATCTTCACCATTGTACTCCACCAATCATTCACCGAGATCTCAAGTCATCAAATCTACTGGTCGATCGAAACTGGACTGTGAAGGTATTGTTTTCATTTTCGAAATATAATTTCCCTTAGACCGGACAGATACTAACTTTTCACCATGCCTTTGATAATCTCAATAGAGCTAAAAACAAGATAATTACTATATTCCTTTTAAAATACTGTCCAGCTTTATCAGATTTCGGAGGTGACATTTGATTTCAGGGGATGAATTAGATGCTGTCTCAAATGAATTGTGATATTTCGTTCTCTTGTGGGTTTAATATATTAGTCTAGGCACAACAAATAAAGTTACTAGGTCTAGTAATTCTGTTGTGTCAGAATTGAGAAGTGGTATGAAAATTATAGTTTGATAGATAGACATTGACTAACAGGTTGCTGACTAGAAATGGAGGCTCTGCCTGTCAATGTTGACTTACCGTGTCATGTCTAACAGGTTGCTGACTTTGGTCTTTCGCGTATCAAGCATGAGACATACCTCACTACAAAGACAGGAAGGGGAACGGTACTTAACATCGACTCTTACGGAATTGATTCCTCTTTTTTTAGATCTCAATTCTTCCTAGGATGAAATACCATTTCTTTTTACCTGTGTTGCAGCCTCAATGGATGGCACCAGAAGTTCTTCGAAATGAGGCTGCTGATGAAAAGTATATTCCCATTTTCTGCGTGGGTTTTTCCTTTCCTAATTTCTGTTCTAGCCTTTGTCTCTGAAAATGTTCCTTCTACTCTTTAAACTACAGATCTGACGTTTACAGCTTTGGGGTAATACTATGGGAGCTGGTGACTGAGAAGATCCCGTGGGAAAATCTAAATGCTATGCAGGTATACTTTTCGTATTAAAGTAAAAATTGTCAAGAATTGTCCTTAAATATAAAGCTGACATATTAGTCCAAGTAAAAAAGTCATATGTTACAAATATTGCAGCTATATGGTTGCTATTAAAATGCACTTAGTTTCCATCAACCCTATCAATAAGCTGTACTCAGTAAAGAATATTAGGAAAGCAGACTACTAATTTTGGCTATTGTAATATCAATGGAAAACAATACAGTGATTCCCCCAAAAAAGACAACAATACAGTGAATGATCTTTTACTGTTAAACATTACTTGCTGTGACTGCAAGTCCAGTAAGTTGTTGATCTTTTTTGGTCAAAATTGAACGGGTAAATTTGTATGAATTAGAGCCATCTTGTGTCCATCGCAAAACATCCTTCTGTGAGTTCTGCTTAAGAAAGTTTGCAAATTATGGCTCCTCTTAGTTCCTAATATGTACACATAAAGTGAACCGAATATGAAGAGAAGTCGATTTAGGATACTTGCAGGTGATTGGAGCTGTGGGATTCATGAACCAGAGGCTGGAAGTCCCTAAAAATGTTGATCCTAAGTGGATTTCTTTAATGGAAAGCTGCTGGCATAGGTATGTATAAAACACTTACATTACATATACCTTTCGAGAAAATTATTGGCCTAAATTGTGTTGCCAAAACCTGATTTTTCATAAACAACTGATCATGTCACAGTCACTGATTCTGCAGTGATGCTAAAACTGCAAGTGTGTATCATTTTACCAAAGGATGAGTAGATAAAAATTAGTTTCGTAGAAATGTCAGTAAATGAAAACTGTTTTCTTTGTTGGTTTATTGAATCTATAAGCAGAGAAAGAAAGCAAATGAGTTTGAAATTCTTGGCAATTTTGGAGTAGTTGAGAACTTGTAAAGAGACCTGATAAGTAAACAAAAGTTTGATAAACAGTCTCAAACACTTTCACATCTATGTTTTGATTAATGTGTTTTTGTAGTAGATGAAGCAGCAGCTAACGTGAGTAAGACAATTTTTGCAGTGAACCGCAGCACAGACCATCATTCCAAGAAATCATGGAGAAACTAAGAGAGCTTCAAAGAAAGTACACAATACAGTTCCAGGCGGCTCGTGCTGCATCAATAGACAACTCTGCCCTCAAGGGAAAATAAACCATTAGAAATGGACAAAGCAGCAGAATCTGATTATGCATTTTTGCGGAGGTTGACGAAGCTGAGCTACATAAGCAAAGCGGGAAGGTGTTTTTGTGTTTGTATTGAAGCGCAATGACTGAAGAGCACCAAAAGGGAGAGTTTTGGTATGTGCCACTATAGTCTCTCTCTCTCTCTCATTGCGAGAGCCATTCTTTTGTATGGAATTGATTCTGAAAACGTCATGTGCTTGCGATGGCGAGTCTAGAGAGGTTCTATATATATTATAAAAAAAAAAAGAAAAAAAAAACATTATGCCTGAGACAGACCCAATTTTTTAAGAATAGTCTGTACAGGTGAAAAAAATACGAGAAAGAATCAAGATTTGGACCAGTGATTTTGAGTAAATATTCTCTTTTTTTTTTTAATTGGATCATGTCTTTGTTATTGTTCGTGCATTTGGAACTCTGAGTTGTTCTGCAAAATAGTTGAAGTTAAGATTATGTGACAAGCAGCAAAACTATATAAATAACCATTAATCTTTGTGAAAAGGAAATTTATACTCGCAAAATAATCTTATTGTATATTAACAATCATAAGTAAAGATTTATTATATGATTGTATCGACGACTTGTCCTTTTATAAGCATGGTGGCTAATATAATATACTTAACACAGCCCAATATTTGCATGGTAAGCTATAGCTAATTTACAAAAAAAATACTTTGACCTAACGAATAAAACAGAATATTCTTACGTGTGGTAAACGTACGTCGACCACTGATATTAGACACGTGGACTAAAAAAACCACGAAGCAAAAACTGGCAGTGTTTTGTTTTGTATTTGATCGATCTCCATCCACAAAAAAAAAACTAAAAATGATTCGCACATTGATTAAGACTCTACTACTCTAGTGATGATGAAAACGAACATACACCTTGTTATACTAGACGACTAAAACAAAAAGTTGGGTCCAATGCCAAAATTATAGAGGATCCTATTTGCTAGTTGCTGTAGCAGCACAGATCCTTTTGGTTGATTCTTTCTAGTTTCCAAACATGAAAAGACAAAATCAAGTTTCTCCACGAATCAGATACTCCCTTCACACCTGTCAGTCTGTCACTATTATTGATGATGTCATCCACTACGTACTTCCGAATCCAAATTGTCCAAACCACAATTTCTCACTTCAATTAATGTTTTTTAATACTCGTTCGTTGTCTATATAAACCCTTACGCTCCCACACGTTTCTCGATAGCTTCCTTCACAATCTCAAACGCCACTTTTTTCAAATTTCAAAAATCTCAACAGAGATGTGTCCTTCCGGTAGAATCCTAACTCCGATAACAACAACCACCGCCACCGCCGCCGCGAAATCAGATTTCCGACCAGCTTTCGAAATCATCGACGCAGATCGCGACGGTAAAATCAGCAGCGACGATCTCCGAGCATTTTACGCCGGAATCCCAAAATCCTCCGGCGAAAACCACGACGAGACGATGATCGGTACGATGATATCAGTAGCGGACTCGAACAAAGACGGGTTCGTGGAGTTCGACGAGTTCGAGAAAGTTCTCGAAACGGCGCCGTTGAGTGGTGGTTGTGGTGGTGGTGAGGGGTTGATGAAAGATGTGTTTACGGTGATGGATAAAGACGGAGATGGGAGGTTGAGTTACGGAGATCTGAAGAGTTATATGGATTCGGCTGGTTTAGTTGTTACCGACGACGAAATCGAATCTATGATTCGGTTAGCCGGTGGTGATTTAAACGGCGGCGTTTCGTTCGATGGTTTGCTTAAGATTTTTGGGTGTTGATTAAAATTAAAATTAACAAAACAAAAGTTTGTTTTTTTTGTTTTTGTTTTTGTTTTGAACACCGCATGTTTTGTTTGTTTGTTTTTGTAGTATTTTTATCCACACAGATTTTGGTCTTTTTGAAAATTAATTTGTTTGGAACGATTCGTTATTATATATGTGAACAATTTTAAATATGTAGTTTTGTTTTTCAGAATTGGCTTAAACAAAATCAAGTAGTGTTTTTTACAAGTAAGCAAGACTTCAAGGTGAGATTTAAATTTTAAAAATGACATTAACGGAACCTAATAATAATATCAATAGTTTTGATTCAACACTAAGACCATCTCCAAAGGGAGGTGGTTAGCAAAAATTTTAGAGATTTTTAATATTTTGTGGATTAAAAATAAATCATAATGTAACTAAATAATAAGGAGCGACCCTTACTGAAGCTGTTTAAGGAGTGATCCTTAACGCCACGTGGAGCTTTGCTATTGGTTAGCAAAGGTTGAACTTTTTTTTTTTCTTGATGCTTTTTTTTTTCTTCTTGATGCCGTCTACGTGTAATGTCAAAGAGGCTGATTTTTTTTTCCTATATTAGTGGGATTTTTTTTGTATAGATTCGGGTTGTTGTAAAAAGAAAAAATTGAAGGCAAAAGAAGTGAAAAAATTATATTTTAGAGGAAGGGGGGGGGGAGGGCAAGAGTTTTTTTAAATAAAAATATGCTTCTTGTTATATTTTGAGTGTATGTTTATTTCAATATGCATATTTTGTATGTTTTGTACCCATGTAATATAATATAATTTTGGTTTTTAATATTTTTTGTAAGAAAAATATTTATTTTTAAAAACCTCTTATAAAATTCACCATTGGAGGAAGAAAATTAATCATTTTTTAAGAGTTTCACAAATTCAAATTAATCATTAAATTTAATTAAAAAAATGTTTAACACCCCAAAATAAACATCTCCCTTTGGAGATGCTCTAACACTATTATAATTTTACTGCAAATGAACAATATTTTAAACAATATTTGAACAAGTTGAATATAAATTACCATGGATACATTAGTGTAAAGTTATTGCAGATGCACATAATAATTATATAAATATATTTCATTATTTCTTTTGAATTTCATTCGTCGATGTAAAAAACCACAAATCTAAATTAAACAAAACTTTTGAGGATTATGGGAACTTGGATTAATTAGGCTCTCGGTGAAGATTTAAAAACCGTCGAGGTCAAGTAGCGAAGCAGATTATATTAATGTGTAATGTGGTTAGTTATCAGAGGCGGACTAAACCTCAATTTCCTAGCCCATTATCATATTCAATCATGAACCCCATAACAGGCCTGACCAACAGGCTTTAGGTCATCGAAACCCAATACCAACCATTATTATTAAAATAAATATTGTATTTTTTTTTCCTACAATAAATATTGTATTTCTTATATATTACCGTTTTCTATATATCATCTATTAGATTTTTGTTCCAATATGTTTAGCCCTTTAAATATATAGATTTAAAATTATTATTTTCACAATAATATATATATATAAATACTAATGTCTAACTATTATTATTATCTGAATTATATCTATATATATATATTTCCAAATAAGTAAAAACAAAATATTAATATTAATGTGTAATTATAATTATTCTCTCAATATAATCTTTATTAAAAACTATATATATATATATATATATATTAATGTGTGATTATAATACTTATATTTTGGAATATGGAATAAATAAATATTTACTAATTGATTGGTAGTTTATATTATATACTACCAATCAAAACAACTTTGTAATAAGAAAACAAATTCCATTTCAAACAACTTAAAGTGGTTCTAGATATGACTTTGGTTAAATCATGTAAAATCTACTTGCATGTAAAATATATCTACTTGGTGTTTTTTAGCAATGCAAAACATGGACAATAAAACTCTATTCAGGTGGCCCTCGTGTGGGGTGAAGCTGCTTGTGAATGACGACGTTTGCCTCTCACTGTTTGGGAACATTTGTCTTTAGTGTATCATCAGAAGATTTTATAAAATATTTAAAGTTTCTTAGAGTTGCTAATGTAATGTATTAACATTATTGTAATTTTTAACTTTGTGAGTTCTATGCCCTCATGAGTCATGACATGACCCCCCCCGCTCGACATTTCAGTATTTTCTTTGTAAGAACCTAAATAGGACAAAAATTAAAGACGTTGAGAAAATACGTATAACTTAACCGAATTAATTCTTTTTTTTTTCTTTTTTGACTTGAAATATTTCCATGAAAGAGAGTAGTATTTTGTTATTCTATGAATCGTTAGTAAAATAAAACTTTATAAAATGTTAGTGAATTATAATCATACTTTGGAGTAAAGAGACTAATAATTCATTCATTCTACTATCCTTAGAGAAACGTGAATATTGTTTTACTCTATTTTCAAATCTAATAAATATAAAACGACAATTGTAAGTGTTGCCCTATTTCAGATTCAAAAGATTATGGCAAATGGTATGAAGTGATGCTTTCAGTTTCATATCCCTATCACATTCACAAAGGTATTACATTCCATACGTGTACATACATAATTTTTTTTATTTTTTTTTAGCAAAATAAATATCATTTTTTTTTCCTTTCATTTAGGGCAATAGATACAAAAAATTAGCTTTTCATAATATATGATCAGAATACTAAACTCCGAAAACCAAAAAGAATTGCCCAGTGTGTCCTTTCTCTCTACTTCCCCCTACCAAAACCAAATTCTCTTACCCTTATTGTGTGCGTCTTTCAAATTGTAAAGAAGACACAATAAGAGAAAAAACATGTACACGATAAGGCTACTACTACCCAAAAATTAGATTAAAGATGATACTTGAAACGAAGCTCTTACTATACATATTCAAGTGTACATACATCTTCAAACACGAAGTTTTTACTATATCTGGAATAAACACATTATAAACCATTGATCAGATCATATTAGCTAGCTTTTTGACTCAAGTGGCCTTAATTTACTTGATGGGAAATTATAATATTTTTAATTTCCTTTTTTTTTTTGTAACTCGATATCAATTATCAAACAAAAGTAGGCATTTTTCCAAAATTATATAGTTGGAAACAATTAGTAAATGTCAAAAATTATTTTAGGGTGAATGAAACATATTTGTTGTAGATGCAGATAAAAGCATATTAAAGCTGCTAATGACTATGGATCTAATTGGCCAACATGTCGTTTATTTTTTCTCTTGACTTCAAAACTTTTGTCTTCACTCATCTTGTCATTTCATCTGATATAATATACTCGTCTTCTTCTCTCACAACATTTGATTATATATACGCTAATGAGGAGAGAGCCAAGAAAACAGACAAACTTCACATTTCCTTGTTCAACTTCAACATCATTCTCTTATATTATCATTCTCTCTCGCTTTGAAGAATGGGGGACAAAGACCAAATCAGCAACGTAATCTCTTTACTTGTTTTCTTTTGTTTTCTTTTTTGGTTCTTTTGATTCTTGAAATTAATGTGTGCAGATGCTAAGCTCGACTGATCTAGGAGATCGTAAATATTCTGACTCTGCCTCTTCATCTCCCAATGTATATTTCTTTTTCTTGTATTTGTTACTTCTTTTTTGGAATCCATAGATCTTCAAATGCTAATTTTGACACCTAATTTGTAGAGTCCGTCCAAGTCTCCTTCTACAAGTACCACCAAGGCAAGTTTCTGTTGTCCAATCTCTTTTTGTCAATCCTACATATTGTGGTAATTATGTAGTGAACGAAACGTATATTAATTTTGGAATTATTTTTGTACAAATGTCGCAGCATGGTACAAAATTAATAAAATTAATTCTGTTTCGTATATAACAGTGTACAACTATATTTTGATTGTTAATTCTATGATTTACCCCGTAAAATATTGTATGATAATTTATCTTTTATATAATCGTAGTTTGATCAGCTTAATTAATTAAGTATAATATTGAAAACAGTGAAATGATGTTGACATAACATTTTTTCGTTTAAATAGTATAGTTTCATATTAAAATATTTGTGAGTTATACTATATCAGACAACCCGTAAAAACATCTATAATCATAATTATGTAATTTATAACTTTTTCCATTACATGATCCGTGATACACAATTACCAATAATACTTTAATAGATACATTTTAAGTATCGATTAATATACATCCGTTTTCAAAAATTCATATTGCAACATATGAGGAAAAAAAATTGTATTATTATGATACATATGTTATATGTAAAAATATTTTTTTTGAAAAAAAATAAGATCATTTAAAGATATTTTAAAAAAATTTAGTTTATTAAGGAGATATTTTAGGAAATTTTGTTAATGTAATAAACACTGATTGTCAAATTTGTAATTCTATTATGATTTAATTACAAAACTTCAAAAATGTTAATATAGATTTTGTCAACAATAAAATGCGGTTTCTATCGGATGCTGAGACATCGAATCGATTATACTAACACAAACAACTAAGATACATGTTTTGAATGTTAATAGTTAATATCAAACAAGAAAATTAGATTCCTACCAAAAAAAAGAACAAGAAAATTAGATCGTTTGTCTATCCTAAATTTTTCTAATTAACATATTACCAAACTTGAATTTAGAAGATAGATACTAGTACAAATAGTCCAATCAATAGACTATAAAGTTACACATACCAATAAATTAGTTAAATACATAAACTATATTAATACGGAGAATCACACACACTTCACACAACTTTTATAATATTTTACTCCGCGCATAACACTGGTCATTTAGTATGTATCTAGTGATTTATATAGTTTTGGACTGTGTAAGAAACTACTCAGTCTCGGCCACCGAACATTCCCATCAGGTCTTTACCCGAACCCATCTGCTTCATGAGACTCTGCAGACCACCCATGCCACCAAGCTGCTTTAGCATCTGGGGTGGTAGGACCTTACTCAACTGCTGCGAGTTCTTGTTTCTTGAGAGTGAGTTCATATTTCCTTTCTCTGGTATCTTAATCCCTTTCATCTTCCCCCACATTGTTGTTAGCCTCTTGTACTCTTCCAACATCTCCATCACCTCTGTTACAATCCTCCCTGACCCTCTTGCTATTCGCATTATCCTTGACCCGTTAAACACCTTCGGGTTTGAGCTGTCCAGTTCTGCACAAACCACCCATCACTAATACTCAAAACTACTATTACTTTTACAAAGAAACAAAATTCCAAATAAGATATTGTTCTTACCTTCATTTGTCATAGAATCCATCATTGTCATGTATCGCTTTATCTTCGCCTGGCTCTCTTTCTCACCTCCCTGTGGCATCATTTCAGAAGAAATTCCAGGTAGCATGGAGAAAACCTACAGACCAACACCGTATTCTGTCTTATCAGCATCATCTTGTGCTCATCAGCCTAATACTATTTGACCAGAGATTCTAACCTCCTTAAGTGGCCCCATGTTCAGTAAGTTTTGGAACTGGTCGTACATAATTCTCAATGTAAAGTTACCATGAGAGAGCTTTTCCAGAAGCTCAGGCTGTTGATCTTTAGGTACCACTTCTTGCAGTTTATTCACGAATCCAGACCAATCACCATTTCCTGTTGCACATATATACATTATCAAAATTTTGAGTCAACAACAAACCATGGTGAGCCTTTGATTACTCGTCACAATTAGTCAATGTCATGATATTTACCTAAGAGACGGCTGACAAATTGTTTAGTTTCAAAAACTTCAAATTCATCCATATGCTCTCCTGTTCCAATGAATATGACAGGACTTTTTGTAGCTGCAACACTAACAAGATGAAAACAGATCACATTCACTTGCCCAATAGGAAAAAGCGTACAAGATTTCCATATCACCATTTCGATTAAGCAGGCACAAAATACTTACGCGCTAAGAGCACCACCACCCTTGGCATGGCCGTCCATCTTAGTTATAATTACAGCTCCCACAGCAACACTTTGTTTAAATGCTTGAGCTTGCTCAAACGCAGCTTGACCAATACTGCTATCCATAACAAATATAACAAGATCTGGTTTCTGTAAAGTGAAAAGGCAACGATCAGCGCCTCCAACATAAACAAAGAACAAACAGTAGACTTTAAGATAAGAGAATAAACCGTTGCTTCAGCAACTTGACGCATCTCTTCAAAGAGAGTAGCTTCTTGTTTATGGCGACCACTGGTGTCAACAATAATAAGATCACGATTTTCTTTCTTAAACCTATCAACTCCCTCAACAGCAATTTTCACAGGATCTGATTCCGTGTAGCTGCAAAGAATCACAAATCAGCATTAACATATTCTGCTATCACATTATGCTTCAGCAAATTGTTTTCATCATTTTATTTTCATTTCCTCCTGTTATTGTCATTTCAAGTGCAGATTTTGCAGTTACTGACCTAAGCCAAACATCAAGTCTAAACTAAACAATTTCATAAATTGTGTACCTTGCCTCTACCTTAAAGCTAATACTAAGATCTCATAACACTGACAAAAGGGTTGATTTTTGAGTACCTTCCATAAAAAGGGATCTTGGCCTTGGTAGCATTCTGTTTAAGCTGATCAAAAGCACCTGCCCTGAAAGTATCTGCACACACTAGAGCTGCTTTGTACCCTTTCTTCTGATGATAGTAAGCATACTTGGTACAAGTTGTGGTCTTTCCAGCACCTAAACATAGTCAACAAAATTTGGCCTTAGAAACACCATCAAATCAAAACCATGGACAAAGTAAAACAAAGCATCTTACAGAGAGAGAGAGCTCACCTTGTAATCCAACAAACATAACTACACAAGGTTTAGCCTTTTTGGGAGAAAATGCAGGCTTTCCTGGATCCAACATCTTACAGAGTTCATTGAAGATAGCCTGAAACAGAAATCGTGAGCAAATTAGAAAAACACAAAAAGAAAATAAACAATTAAACCGGAGTTTTGTCGTAAAACCAAACCTGTTCAATGATACGACGCTTGTTGTGTCCGGAAGCTAGTTCCTCAAGATTGACGATTTTCTTAATATTGGTCTGCATGTCCTTAACGAGTGGGAAAGAAACATCGGACTGGAGCAGTGCGCGAGTGATCTCGTTCAAGCAATCGTTCAGAGCCTTTTCATCGATTATTGTCACATTGTTCATCTGCTGTATGGCGCGGCTTATCCGACCGCCGAGCTCCGCCAACACCATTTTCGCTGCTTACCCAAGTTTAACCCCCAAATTAATTTTTAATAATAATAATCAGATTTGCGGAACTAGGTTGATCACAGAGATTCTTCTTTATATTTGTCGGATTTTGGAAGATGGAATGAGACGGGAGAGAGGTTCTAAAATAAATATATGAGGTCAACAATAAAATAATTGCAAAAGAATTTGGGGAAAAATAATAATTACAAATCAATCTCTTAAATTTAATAGATTTATATGTATATTGATATATTCAACTAAGTTAGTTATTATTATTTCATATTTAAAATTATAAATAATAATATTAATTTTTAGGCAATAAATCTTTTCTTTTTGGTCAAGAATTTTTATAGGCAATAAATCTTTTTAAATACAAGCATTTTATATATTATTTTATTATATAAAATTTAGTTTTCAAAATTAATAACTCATTTTACTCATGATAGGTGTTAATTCTATTGATTAAATATTTAAAATATTTTGTTAATATTTTTAAAATTTGAAGTGTTAGTAAAATTATTTTAGTGGATTATAATATTAGTAAAACTATTTCGAGGTGTAAAGTGTTATACAAATATAACAAGGTACTAAACCACAGTAAACCGTGGGCTGAACTTTTTTTTTTAACTATAAAAAGGTTGAATTCTTTATTTGATAAAAATTTATAATAATTTAATTTGTTACTATTTAATTAAATATTTATATATTTTGTATCTGTGTTTGTATATCTAAATAAACAATATATATTTTTGATTATTTTGTGATTTTATATATTTAATTTGTTTGATTATTTTTAAAAATTTTGTTTTTTAATTATTTAATATGTACCTCGTTTTTAAAAAAAAAAAATTTCTAATGACATTTCAATGTAAATTCTTACCATTTATAAGATAATTTTTATTTGTATATTTCTCAGTTAATATAATACTATTTTTTTTTGGTAAAGTAATATAGTAGGATATTAAAGGTTAAAAATGTGATCTAAAATAATAAACTGTATATTTTATTTGCTGTTTTTGTGTTTTCCATAGTGAATTAAATTAGAACCAATAAGTAGAGGCTAAACCAATGGTACAAATACAATTTCAGAACATTTTCGTCGTTAATACAGAACCGGCCAGTACGTGGGCTAAACTTACAAAACTACGTCCGTCGTCAACATTAATGGGCCTGCCAGGCCTTAATCTCTCTTTCAAAAACGACGCCGTTAAACTGCTCTTCGTCCGACTGAGGGACGACATCATTTGGGCGATCTCCGTCTCCGTCCGAAGACGTCAAATTCGAAAATACAGTTAAGTCGAAGCGTTTAAAACCCTAAATCCCCAAATCGGAGATTGAGATTTCGATTTCGATTCGATTCCGCAGATGTCGTCTTCATCTCCGAGTGGAAGCGGTGGCGATTTGACAGAGAGAAGAGGGATTCCTGCCGCTAAGTTCATCCAAGATGTCGAGACTTATCTCTCTCAGTCTGGCCTCGATCCTAACTCTGCTCTCGCCTTTCATCAAGAAAGGTTTCTCCTTTTCTTATTCTCTCTCACTCTTAGTTCTCATTTTAACTCTTTTAAGTCTATGCATTTATCTGGGCTTGTTCTTCTTAAGCTCAAATCCCAGATCTCCTATAATCAATTGAATGCTGAATCATTACTTGTGAATATGCTTGAACCTTAAACTCGTTAGTAATTTAATTTCCATGGGGTTCTGTGTAGGCTTCAGCAATATAAAGTTGTTGAGATGAAGCTTCTTGCTCAGCAAAGGGATCTTCAGGTTCACTTGTCCTTTTATTTGTCTTTAGCTTTTGAGGTGGATGTTTATGTATTATGGTAGAAGTGATGATGTCTTACGGTCTTGATAATATGTGCAGGCTAAAATCCCTGATATTGAAAAGTGTTTAGAGGTTGTTGCCACTTTGCAAGCAAGGAAGGGTACTGGTGAGGTTCGTCGTTTTTCATTTGAGTCTTTCTTCACCAGTTTATGCATATATACGTCTAGTTGTGATACTTTGATCAGTGTCTTGCTGCTATTTTGAGATGGATGTGACCAAATATAAGTGTACAAACATTGTTATTTGATTGTCTGAATCCGGTATCTTGAATTTTGTAATACCATAAGGTTGAAATTTGTTGTGCTTTGATATCTTACCAATGTTTGAATGCCAACTTTGTGTCCCTGTGAAGATGTTTTCTTTTCTTTGTGCAAGTCAGGCTAACTTAAAACATTTCCTTAGAACCTCATAAGCCTTCTTGCATTTGAAAGTCTGGTTTTTGAAGATCAAGGTTGATTGGTTACAAAGACAATGTCTAAATCTCCAATCAGCTTTTATTCTTCCTATGGGACCTTAAATTATTGTCTTAAAGTCGTGTTTCATGGTGACTGCAGAACATGTTGTGTCGCCGAACATAGTTCTATTTTCGCTGTAAGAATCACTGACACATAGATTGTAATTGGTACAATCTTTCATCTTTATTTATATGAAAGTTGCTTTGATGTACAAACTTACTGTTGATTCTTGTGTTCTTCATCATTATTTTCTCACATGGAATTCTTCTTATATTGCAGGCGCTTTTAGCCGATTTTGAGGTCTCTGAAGGAATATATTCACGGGCCTGCATTGAAGACTCAGACTCAGTGTGTTTGTGGTTGGGAGCTAATGTCATGCTGGAATATTCCTGTGAAGAGGTCCATTACTCTGAAAACATATTCTCTTCTACCTTTTAAATCTTCTAGCACCGGGGACCACAGAATAAGTTCTTTTAATCTTTCTTCCAATAGGCTACAGCTCTTCTGAAAAACAATCTGGAAAATGCTAAAGCCAGCCTAGAGGTTCTTGTAGCTGATTTACAATTCTTGAGGGATCAAGTCACAGTTACTCAGGTACAGAGACACTTGTAATTTGATTTCATATCAGTTGACTCAGCGCTTAGTTCCGTGAGAAATAAGTAGGGGACTGCTTTTTACTTTACATAAATCCAGATTTGCAAGCAATTTAGGCAACCCGTAAAATCTTATCAATGTTAGATGCTATCATAGATTGCGTAAAACGTAAGTTATCTTACTTGACCATGAGACTTTGTGATGGACAGGTAACTATTGCACGTGTTTATAACTGGGATGTTCATCAAAGGAGGGTTAAACAGGTTGCCCCTACTGCTATTGCTGCTGCAGACTCATGAACCACATATCCAAGTTGTAATCGTGTGGGAATTTTAAACAAGGTAATATGATTATTGGGACACCTTTTGCTCCAACCGGTTGTTTGTAACTCTTAAGCTTCGCTATCTTGCTGAAATTTTGTTGCTGCGAACAAACGCGTATGAGTAGAACATTAGCATATTGTTATCGTCGAGTTTTGAGAACAGCTTGTGTGTTTTCCGCGATTGAAGGTACCTACTTGTTTAAGGATGTGATAGATAAATCAAACTATATTGCAGAATCTGGTGGTCTTGACTCTTGATCAATGTTTCCAAGCGTGATAAATATTAAGACATGTGTTTCTAGAAGTAAAAGAATGAGCAATACCAAAAGTCAAGTTTTGTCATTTTCACGGAAAATATTAGTGAAGGCTTATGCTTTTGTTTAGCAAAAAGGTGGAAATGAGAAACAAAAACGTTATCAAATCGAACTTTTCTTCATCATCTTTTCTCATCAGTGCATATTGCATTCTGAAGGAATAAGATTCATCTTGTCACTGATACGACATTTCATAGTAAATCTTTTTGGGAGGGTTTAACCAACCATTATATAGATAAGTCACAGTAAAATTCTTATTTTTCATGATTCCGTCACCCATTTAAATTTGTGAATTTTTGTTAAGGTACTAAAAAGATGATGAACTTTAGTTGCAAAATCTCATGTTATGTAAACTATATACTCGGTTGATCAAGTTGAGAGTATTTTTATGAACACTTTTGAGATTTTGCGTCGTTTCCAAATAAAGAATATTACGAGAGAAACAAAACAAACGTCACAAAATAAAGAAAAATGTAAATGGGAGAAAAGATTGTGTTGATGGTTAGGGCTTTCAGTTGTGTTGACCCTTTGAAAATGAACACTCTCAATTTAATGTTGGTCCATATTTTCACTTATTGACTTTTATTTTCATGTGTTACTCTATGCCATATCCCTATATTAGTAAAAGAGAAGTACAAAAAGTGCTTTCGGGTCGGGTCAATTTCAAAAAATTACCCGAAATTTGTAATTGGATATTTTAAAGTTGGATAGATTAATGGGTTTGGATACACACACCGGATACTTTCCAAATCTAATTTTAGGATTATATTATTTCCATAACTAATTATAGGATTTACTAATATTTCTCTAACTAATTTAATACAGTCTATTTAAAAAATATTATTCTTCTTTCACTTTTATTTGATATTATTTTTAATTTATGATATTATATTATATTATATAAATATTAAATAAAAATTTAACTTTTTTTTGCATATGTTGCAATTTGAATTTTTCAAAACGAACATATAATACTCAACTACACTCGGTTAAATATTTTGGACAATGGTTTAAAATCATTATAAGTATGATCAATATTAAAACCATTGTTACAGGAGCA